CGTAGCCAACTTGGAAGCCAGCCGGAACTCCGTCCCTGTGCGTTCCTGCCCAAAAATAGCTCTGGTTTTGGGGATCAAACACAATGTTTCAAGATGCCACTACGGCCGTTCTTCATTTCATTTGATTTGTGGGGGGTCTCCTATGATTCTGCATCTGGCATTCGCTCCACATTTTCTCAACCAGGAGGGGAAAGCGCAGCTCAAAACCACATTCAGACACCCCAGGGGGCAATGCCGTGCTGACTTTAAAGTCATCCCTGAACGGCCATAAATCTATGCAGAAGGTACCGTAAAATTCGATGCTCAAGGGAAGGGACAGCAGCTTGCAAGGCAGAGGGGGATTTCTGTTCCAACGAGGGCTTTGTAAAACAACAGAGGGGAAAGTCAATGCAGAATCGCCTCCCCTATTTGATTTTATTGTTTTGATTATCAGGAAGTTTTAGAACCAAACATTGATAAAAAGATGTAAAATGTGATAAGAATGGAAAATAAAAAGTGTTTTTTTTGACCAAACAAACCGACACCCACATTGAGGAGACGCCCGTTGACAGGCGGTCCCCGTGCAGCAGATCACACTTCCCCGTGCTTTTCCTCGCCCGAAATTTGCATATATCGGTCCTTTTTTGCAACTGTCGGAAGATGTACATCCCTTCACTATCACTTCAACTCTTACTGGACCTGCCAACAAAAGGAAAGAGGAATGACATCGTGATGATTGAGTTCCTGCCACCTTTTACACACCGAGCACAATTTAGAATCATAGAATCATAGAGTTGGAAGGGACCTCCAGGGTCATCTAGTCCAACCCCCTGCACAATGCAAGAAATTCACAAATACCTCCCCCTCACACACCCCTAGTGACCCCTGTTCCATGCTCAGAAGAGGGCAAAAAAACCCTCTCCAGGATCTCCGGCCAAACCGGCCTGGAGAAAAATTGCTTCCTGACCCCAAAGCGGTGATCAACATTTCCCTGGGCATGTAAGAAAGGGCCACAAGAACTGAGCACTGAGGCAACCCTTCCTGCCCTCCCTCTCATGACCTGCTGCCTAAGTTCACAGAATTAGCATGGCTGTCAGATGGCCACCTAGCCTCTATTTAAAAACCTCCAAAGAAGGAGAGCCCACCACCCCCCGAGGAAGCCTGTTGTCAGGAAGTTCTTTCTCATGTTTAGCTGGAAACGCTTCTGGTTTAATTCCAACCCGTTGGTTTTGGTCTGACGTTCTGGGGCAACAGAAAACGACTCTGCACCATCCTCTCTCTGACAGCCCTTCAAGTACTTGAAGATGGAGGATTTTGCCACTCCTGAGCTGGTCCCTTCCAGCCACTGGGGAGCCCTTATTGGCTTTTGAGTCCTCTCGCTCACCTACTGATGATTCAGTCAGACCCACAGCGCAGGAATCAAGGCCGGCAGGACAAGTCATCTGGTCGCCAGAACAGCCTTTGCCAATGCCGACGCAAGTTTCGCATTCCAAAGAGGCGCCTGGAAGGGGAAAGTATTTCTCAGTTAAGAGTGGAGGGGGCAGGTGGGAGACTTCTGCCTAATTGGTCCTGTTCTCTGCCACGGCTTCAAAGATCAGCAGGGGGGAAACGCGGGGTAGGGGGAGGTGCCCAGGCATCGCAAAAGCGCAGTGTCACTTCTGGCCAAAATTGGAAGTGACTTCATGGCAGTACTTGATTTGAGCATCGTTTGCCACTCCTGAGCTGGTCCCTTCCAGCCACTGGGGAGCCCTTATTGGCTTTTGAGTCCTCTCGCTCACCTACTGATGATTCAGTCAGACCCACAGCGCAGGAATCAAGGCCGGCAGGACAAGTCATCTGGTCGCCAGAACAGCCTTTGCCAATGCCGACGCAAGTTTCGCATTCCAAAGAGGCGCCTGGAAGGGGAAAGTATTTCTCAGTTAAGAGTGGAGGGGGCAGGTGGGAGACTTCCACCTAATTGGTCCTGTTCTCTGCCACGGCTTCAAAGGTCAGCAGGGGGAAAACGCGGGGCAGGGGGAGGTGCCCAGGCATCGCAAAAGTGCAGTGTCACTTCTGGCCAAAATCAATGAGTTCCTGCTGGGCTTTTTCTACAAAAAGAGCCCTAATCGCACCCAACATCGTGATGTCACTTCCGGGTTTTGGGGAGGGTTTGGGTGGTTTTTTTTTGCCAGAAGGGACGTTGCGTGTTGGCACCCTGCCAGCATGCCTTTACCAGTTCCTCAGATTCTCCTAGGGTTCCCAACCACATGATGCCCTGGCATCTCTAGTAAAGAGCCAGAGAACAAGGCAGAGCCAGCCACATGTGAGGCCCATCTAAACGGCTTCTGTCTGTCATTCACCCTTGAGACCTTGTGTCTATAAGCAATGCTGTGTATATTCCTCCCTCTCCCTCCCTCTCTCCCCCCACCATCCATCCATCCATTTATCCATCCATCCTACGGCCTGTAAAAAAGTATGCAACATAAGCCTATCTCTTATTTTGCACAATCTGTTTTAGTTTGCTAGTCAAAAGTAGGGACAGTGAACAACCACTGAATTCCTACCTCTACCCCCTGGGAAATATTATTGAGGCTTTCCTATGATTTCTGATATATATTTTTTTAAATATATATTTTTATTTTACCATTTAAGGGGGGTACAGAATGAAAAGGAGCAAAGGGAAAAGGGAGAAGCATAAAACATCATTTGTTGAACATGTTTTAAGTGCCTTGCATAATATAAAAATATAAAACATGAAAAAGTAACGTGGCAAAGAGTATCATAGCAAATCAAAATATGGTAAACAATTCAATACTTCAGCATCATATATTTCCATGTATATTGCTAATATTTTCTATCTATAGGGCAAGGTAGAATAACATATAAGCAAGAAATATAAGAAAGGAGTAAGAAAACATTTTTCTTTACGCAAAGTTAATGCTATCATATAATAACTAGAAAATATGTAACTATAAAAGATTAATGAGGATAGCTACAATAATATAATTATACAGTTTTAATTTCTGATATTTCAACAAGCATTGCTTGCCATCTTCATAGTCCCAAGGACTAGAAACATTTTTTTTAAAAAATCCAGAAAGCCAAATTTTTCATCCCAATTTCAGCAGGCGCTTTTGCAGGAGAAAGTCAACACCTTGCAGTCTCTTTTTCAAGATCACATTTGAAGCCTGGTAATGGAGCTAGGCTAATTTAAGATTTTTGGGGGTCTGCCACTGCCCCAAAGACTGATTTCACCCAAAGAAATACCATAGAAATCCTTGTCAGGGATGAATTTGATTTCAGGTATGGTAGGGTTCAGCCCCAGAATGAATTTTACCTCACGGCCTGGAAAAAAATGACTTGAAGTAGGAAGATCTTTCCTATCCTAGACTGGATAGTCTTTGGTCCTTGTGAATCGGATGCTTCTTTTAGCCTTCTCTAGCTAGGAGCTGGAACTATTATAAAACATGAAATTAACCTCAATGGAACAAATCCCACCCAGCAGTGAACTGCTTTACTCCTTACCTGAAGTTAAAAGTGCAGAGAAGAAGAAGAGTTCCAGGAGAGCCTCCATGCTTGAGCTAATGCCGATCTTTCTTTCTGAATGAGCAAATTCTTTCCCCGGGAGCAATCTATGTCAATGAAAGCACAGAGGAGATTCAAAACAATAAGAACAGGAGACCAGGGTGTGTTATAAGTAATTAGTTACTGTTAAACATTAATCTGGATTGGCGGATATTAGAATGTGTCTCTCTTTTCTGAATTTATGCTTGCCGGTTGTTTGAGATGTCTGTGAGATAAACCCATCTTCTCACTCGCTTGTCATCTTAGCCTTCTCTAGCTAGGAGCTGGAACTATTATAAAACATGAAATTAACCTCAATGGAACAAATCCCACCCAGCAGTGAACTGCTTTACTCCTTACCTGAAGTTAAAAGTGCAGAGAAGAAGAAGAGTTCCAGGAGAGCCTCCATGCTTGAGCTAATGCCGATCTTTCTTTCTGAATGAGCAAATTCTTTCCCCGGGAGCAATCTATGTCAATGAAAGCACAGAGGAGATTCAAAACAGGTCTTACTGAACAGGAGACCAGAGGAAGATCTAAGTTTGGCACAGGGTGTGTTATAAGTAATTAGTTATTGTTAAACATTAATCTGGATTGGCAAATATTAGAATGTGTCTCTTTTTTCTGAATTTACGCTTGCCGGTTGTTTGAGATGTCTGTGAGATAAACCCATCTTCTCACTCGCTTGTCATCAATGTTTAATGTGGCGTTTCTGGTCTGGGAAGATCGCAGTTTGTATTTGAATGAGTTCTAGGGCTGTAAGCTGCCTTGGCTGTTGTTCTAGATAACGGCTGGCTAGAAATGAACTAACTCAAGGAGCCAAACATTTCTTAATTGGTACAAGAGTCCCTTCCCCAAACAAAAATAATGTCCATTTGTACTGAAGGACTTCTCCAGAAGAAGAAGAAGAAGAAGAAGAAGAAGAAGAAGAAGAAGAAGAAGAAGAAGAAGAAGAATTGTTGAGCCTATGTGTAACGTTTATGCTTGACCACTAAAGAAGGCCAGTAGGCTGAAGCGTGTCTGTTTTAGGGTCACATACGGTCTTTATTGTGCCCATGGAAGGAGGAGGAGGAGGAGGAGGAGGAGGAGGAGGAGGTTTGGATTAATAGCCCACCCTTCACTCCGAGTCTCAGAGTGGCTTACAATCTCCTTTCCCTTCCCCTCCCCACAACAGACACCCTGTAAGGTAGGTGGGGCTGAGAGAGCTCTGAGAGAGCTTGTGACTGACCCAAGGTCACACCAGCAGCTGCCTGTGGAGGAGTGGGGAATCAAACCCGGTTCTTCAGATTAGCATCTGCTGCTGTTAACTACTACGCCAAACTTAGCTATTCTGTTTGAGGGGCCGGCTGTGCTACAGAGCCTTTAATGGAAAACTTCCATTTGTGGAGCCCTGCCCCATCTTTAGATTTTCTGCCGCTGCCACATTCCGTGCTATTTTAACAGTCACGATTTATTACAGTCATGAACAGCCATTTCCTCTGGGTTCCTTTCCTATGTGCTGTTCCTGTCTTCCTCTGTGTTGTCAGGAGAACCTTGGACTCCTCCCCTCTCCCTTGGCCTTAGCAGAAGATCACATTTGTCTAACACCAGCTTTGTGTATCCTCATCTGTACTGGAACCGTGCTGAATGATTCCCAGCTCAATCCCCCCCATTTACCATGCCTACATGAGGAATTAGAGAAGAAGAGAAGAGATTGGATTTATACCCCGCCCTTCACTGGGAGTCTCAGAGCGGCTTACAAACTCCTTTCCCTTCCCTTCCCCACAACAGACACCCTGTGAGGTAGGTGGGGCTGAGAGAGCTTTTTCGAGGACTGCTCTTGAGAGAACAACTCTTATCAGAGCTATGGCTTGCCCAAGGTCATCCAGCCAGGTGCAAGTGGAGGAGTGGGGGAATCAAACCCGGTTCTCCCAGATTACAGTCCGCGCACTTAACCACTACACCAAACTGGGTCTCACAAGCCTCCAGCCCCAATTTCCCACCCCATCCCCAAAGCTGAGGAGTGTGAGAAAAAATGACTTTCTCAGTTTCCACAGGATTGTCTGGTGAAGACCATAGAGACTAGAAGCAGCAGCATAGAGTGTCACTCAGTGGTGACCATACATCCTCTCCAAACTCTATGCTCTCCAAGCAATGCCCCGCCCCAAATCTCCTGGCATTTGCTGAGGGAGTGGGAGGAGCCCTACTTCCCCCAAAGTGCCAAACAGACAACTAAGTCTTCGGTCTAGGATGCTAAGCCCCAAGGGTGGTCCCTTTTAACCCATGCCACCATAGAATGGATGGATGGCTATTCAGAAACATGCCTCACAACCAAGGCTCCCTCTAAGCTGTGGAGTCCCGTGAGCAAAAAGTCTACCTTGTGAGCTCCTGGCATTGAAGTGGTGAGCGAGCGATTCAGCTGCTGCACAAATTAGTTTGCCCTGGAGCCGCCCCTTCCTGAGCTAAGATGAACATCTGTGAGCCAGAGGCTAAAAAAAAGTGAGCTGGCTCACACTAACTCAGCTTAGAGGGAACACTGCTCACAACTACTAATAAGTGGTCCAGCCCAGGGGTGGCCAAACCGTGGCTCGGGAGCCACGTGTGGCTCTTTCACACATATCGTGCGGCTCCAAGCAGGGCAGCTGGGGAAACGAAGGGGAGGCACGCCTCCCTGATCGGTCTTCCCTTCGCCAGCCAGTGTTCCCCTTCCTGGGTAGGCTTGAGGCACGGGGGGGGGGGCAACTTTAACTTAAATGCGTTCTCAAAGTCCCCCCCCACCCGAAGCCTACGAATATCATTGGACAAAATTATCATTATCAATATCTATTTTTGCCCCTTTTGTTCTCATTTTTGGCAGTCTCCTTTAAGGTTAATAAAAAGCAAATTTGCGTATTTTTCAATGACAGCCATGACTGTAATATTGGTTCATGTCTTGCGGCTCTCAAACGTCTGACGTTTATTCTGTGTGGCTCCTGCGTTAAGCAGGTTTGGCCACCCCCGGTCCAGCCCATTCCAGCCAACCTAGTTACGGACTAACTAATCTAGGAACCAGGCCTAGTTACACCGTCCCTCCTGAAACCTAAGAACAAGCAATCACTGCGATTTGTGGCTACTGTATTTTATAGTTCATATGTAGTATATATGTCCTTACGAATCACAAAAATAACAGAAAAATCTCCCAACCAATAATGTGATACTGTTACAGTGTCCCCTCTAAGCTGAGTTAGTGTGAATTAGCTCGCAGTTTTTTAGTCTCCGGCTCACACATTTTTGTCTTGGCTCAGCAAGGATGGCTCCAGAGCAAACTAATTTATGCAGTAGCCAAATTCTCTTGCTCACAACTTTAATGCCAGCAGCTCACAAAGTAGAA